TGGAGAGCATAGGAGGCTTAGGGGGACGGGCTGGGGGAGGCTGGGGGAGGCTGGGTCGGCCTTCCCGTTCCAACGGGCCGCCGGTGTCATGGCGGCGGCCTGGGGACAGCAGCAGGCTCCGCCTCACCTGGTCTTGTCGGGAGAAATTTTATTTTTTATTTTTATCGCAGGCGACTCGCTGTCGCCCGGGCTAGAGTGAGCCCGCGGCGTCCAGCCTCAGCTCACAGCAGCTCTCCTGACTTTGAGGCTCAGCGAGCTCCTGCCTCGGCCTCCCCTCCCGGTAGTGTGGACGATCAGGCCATGCGCCATCCACGCCCGCTCATTTTCTGTATATTTTTGTCGTCAGCTCATTTTTTCTATTTTAGCGAGACGGGTCTCGCCTTGCTCAGGGCTGGCCTCAACTCCTGGCCTCGAGCGATCCTCCCTCCTCGGCCTCCCAAGTACCTAGGACTACAGGCACGTGACACAATGCCAGGCTAATTTTATATATATATACATTTTTTGTCTGTTTTGTTTTGAGACCGAGTCTCGCTCTGTCGCCTGGCTGGGTGGTGCCCGTGGCATCAGCCTCGCTCGAGCAGCAGTCCACCTCCTGGCCTCCCAGTGATTCCTCGCTGCCTCGCCCCCTCCGAGTAGCTTGGGCACGACAGGCACGCGCCAACACGGCCCGGCTCGATTTTCTCTTAGATTTAGTGTGTCATGCTCATTTCTTCCTATTTTTGTTAAGACGGGGATCTCTGGCCTGTGTCAGCTGGCTCCACTCCTGACCTTCGATTCAAGCGATCCTCCAGCTTGACCTCGCCAGGAGTGCTGGGATGACAGGCCGTGCAGCCACTGCGCCCGGCTCTTTTTCTGTTATATTTTGTTTCCGCTCATTTCTTTCCATTTTTTTTTATAGTAGACACGGGGTCTCGCTCTTGCTGCTTGCTGGCTGGTCTCGAACTCCTGGCCTCGATCGAGCGATCCTCCAGCCTCGGCCTCCCGAGTAGCTGGGACAACAGGCGTGAGCCGCCGCGCCTGGCCAATTTTTTCTATATATTTTTTAGTCATCCTATTAATTTCTTTCTATTTTTAGTAGAGACGGGGGTCTCTGAGCTCCTGCTCAGGCTGGCCTCCAACTCCTGGCCTCAATTGACCCATCCTCCCGCCTCGGCCTCCCACAGTGCTGGGTCAACAGGCGTGAGCCACCGCGCCCCGCCAATTTTTTCTATATATTTTTTTTAGTCGTCCTATTAATTTCTTTCTATTTTTAGTAGAGACGGGGGTCTCTGAGCTCCTGCTCAGGCTGGCCTCGAATTCCTGACCCCGATCGAGCGATCCTCCACCCTCGGCCTCCCGGACTGCTGGGACGACAGGCGTGAGCCTCCACGCCCAGCCTCAACACCTGCTTTTCGGGGAGGGGGCCTGAGTCAGCCTCCACCTTCTTCCTCCCGTCGTCTCCCCGCCTCCCCCGGGCTGGGGGTACGGTAGGGCCACCCCCGGGACCCCAAGTGGCGACGACGGGGGGGCCCCCCCAGGGGCACCCAGTGCACGGCGGGGACACATGGAGGCTCAGGCGGCCTCTACCCAGAGCCTTTATTCTCCCAGGAGTCACCCCGCCATGGGACAAAGTCGGGGTGCAGGCTGGTGGGCGGGCTCTTGTCGCCACGCCAGCGGCAGGCCGGGGGGTGACGGCCTCGCCGGGGACCGGGAGGTGGAGGCCGAGCCGGCCTCGCTTCAGTACTCGAACGTCACCGTCTTCACGCGCAGGTACTCGCTGAGCGCGGCCTCCCCTGCAAGACAGCGGCGCCGGGTGGGACGGGCGTCACTGTCCCCGGCCCCCGAGCTCTCCCGCCACACCCCCAGGCCCGCCGGGTTTGGGGGTGTCCCTGCCCGTCATCGCCCCAAATTCACAGTCGGGGAGCAGAGGCCCACGGAGGAGCGGAGGCCGAGCATGTAACACGCAGGCAGCTCCGGGGGGAGCTGGCGGGAGGGGCGGCACTCCCCGGAAGGCAGAGCCCAGCGGGGGCAGGGCACGTTCTAGGGCCTTCCGAGGGAACTTTCTAGAACCTTCTGCAGAGATGTTCTAGAACCTTCCTTCCGCAGGAATGTTCTAGGACCTTCTGCAGAAACATTCTAGAACATTCTGCAGAAGCATTCTAGAACATTCCGTAGGAACGTCCTGGAACCTTCCGTGGGAATGTTCTAGGACTTTCTGCAGAAACGTTCTAGAAGCTTCCTCAGAAATGTCCTAGGACCTTCCGCGCAGAATCATTCTGGGACCTTCCACCAAAACTTTCTGGGACCTTCCGCAGAAACGTTCTAGGACCTTCCATAGGAACGTTCTAGAAACTTCCACAGAATCGTTCTAGAACCTTCCGCAGAGACGTTCTGGGACATTCTGTGGAAACATTCTAGGACCTTCCGCAGCTCTCCCTGCCTTGCTTGTCTCTTATTTTTTCTTTTTTTTCCTCTTATTTTTTTCCCTCTGGGTTTTTTTGTTTGTTTGGTTTTTTTGTTTCTCTTTTTTCTCTCTCTCTCTTTTTTTTTTTAGGAGACGGAGTCTCCCTCTGTCACCCAGGCTAGAGTGAGCGCCGTGGCGTCAGCCTCGCTCACAGCAGCCTCCAACTCCTGACCTCGAGTGAGCCTCCTGCCTCAGCCTCCCTCCCGAGTAGCTGGGACGACAGGTGTGCGCCTCCACGCCCGGCTCGTTTTTCTTTTTTCTATATATTTTTAGTTGTCCAACTTGTTTCTTTCTATTTTTTTTTAGTAGAGGCGGGGTCTCGCTCTTGCTCAGGCTGGTTTCAAAGTCCTGACCTCGAGCGCTCCTCCCGCCTCGGCCTCCCAGAGAGCCGGGATGACAGGCGTGAGCCTCCCTGCCTGGCCTCACTGCATTGTCTTGACCGGGGGGCTGGGGGAGGCCGGGACGGACCCAGACGCCCCCTCCCCCTCGGTCCCCCGTCTTCTGTCCCCGCTGCTGACCCCCGGGGACTCCACGTCAAGCCACCTCCCGCGAGGGGCCCCGGCCCCAGTTCTGATCGGCATGTTCCAGCCTGGAGGCCGGCCTCCGATCCTCCAAAGGAGGACGGTCTGGGAGGCTCGGTGGTGGCCCGCCCCGGGGACCGCCCGCCGGTCCTCTGTGTCCAGGACGTGGGAACCGGAAGGGGCAGGGAGCTGGGGGACACAGGGGAGAGTCCCGTGGCCGCAGCCTTCCGGATTCCCACAGTGGAGGCCAGGACGGAGGCCCAGAGAGGAGGCTGAGGGCGTGGCTGGCCCTGCCTGGGCTGAGGCCAGCTCGGCGATGACCTCGGGTGACCTCACAGCCTCCACGGCCCCCATTGCTCCCCCGAAGCCTGAGGATGGAGCCGTGGCCTCCAGAACCCTGAGACCTCGCCGCTGCCTGTCCTCCCTCCTCGGCCTCCACACCCCCACGCCTGCCTCTCTGCAGCTCCCAGACGGGACGTGGGGCCCTGGGGACTGCCTGCCGCTCTGTGGAGACCCTCCCGTCCCCACGGGGGACACCTCGACCCCCGGGAACCCTCCTCCCCGTCTGTGGCCACCTTGCTCCCGGACTCTACGCCTGGCCTCTACCCTGGGACATGAAGGCGTCTTGTTAAGTGCCCGACCCCAGCACCCAGCAGGACGGGGCCTGGAACCCCGGGTGGCTTTAACTGATGTCTGCGGGCCGGGCCCGGAGGCCCACGCCTGTCATCCCGGCACTCTGGGAGGCCGAGGCGGGAGGATCGCTATGGAGGTCAGGAGGTGGAGGCCAGCCTGAGCAAGAGCGAGACCCCGTCTCTACTAAAAATAGAAAGAAATTAATTGGCCAACTAGAAATATATATAGAAAAAATTAGCTGGGCACAGTGGCTCACGCCTGTCATCCCGGCTACTCGGGAGGGAGGCCGAGGAGGGAGGATCACTCAAGGTCAGGAGCTCAAAACCAGCCTGAGCAAGAGCGAGACCCCGTCTCTACTAAAAAAAGGAAACAAATTAATTGGCCAACTAAAAATATATAGAAAAAAAAATGAGCCGGGCGTGGTGGCGCGTGCCTGGAGTCCCAGCTACTCGGGAGGGAGGCTGAGGCAGGAGGCTTGCTCGAGGCCAGGATCTGGAGGCCGCTGTGAGCGAGGCTGACGCCACGGCACTCACTCCGGCCCGGGCGACAGAGCGAGACTCTGTCTCAAAAAAAAATTAAAAAAAGCAACATCTGTTTGTTGCACTCAGGGAGGCCAGGAAGGGAGGCTCGCTCGAGGCCAGGAGTTCGAAACCAGCCTGAGCAAGAGCGAGACCCCGTCTCTACTAAAAAAAAGGAAACAAATTAATTGGCCAACTAAAAATATATAGAAAAAAAAAGACCCGGGCGTGGAGGCGCATGCCTGGAGTCCCAGCTACTCGGGAGGGAGGCCGAGGCAGGAGGCTCGCTCGAGGCCAGGAGCTGGAGGCCGCTGTGAGCGAGGCTGACGCCACGGCGCTCTCTCCGGCCCGGGCGAGGCACGAGCCTCCGTCTCAGGAGCAGGAAAGCCACCGCGGGCGTTTTCCGGGCGACGCGGCGGCCTCCGCGGCGGGCCTCACCCAGGTCCTTGCCGAAGCCGGACTGCTTGAAGCCGCCGAAGGGCGCGGCCACGTCCGTCTTGTTGTAGGTGTTGACGAACACGGTCCCGCATTCCAAGCCTGTCCGCATCACCCGTCGCAGCCGCCTTGCTCAGGTCGCGCCGTCAGCGCAGACCCGAAGGCCAGCCGAACATCGGATAGGCGTTGGCCACCGGCCAGCACGGCTCCCCCCGGTCTCGCACAAACCACCAGAGCGGAGACGAACACCCTGAGCCCCCGCCCGGCCTCGAGTACGGGGGCCCGGAAGAAAGAGCGCCCTTGGTTTGTCTGCCTGAGACTACAGTCTCCTCGGGCGGTAGAAGATCAGCCTCCGCTCACACGGGCTCACGCACTAACGTCCTGCTCTAAGGAGCCATACCGCATCGGCCCAATCCGTAGCGAGTAGCTGGGCGCGACAGGCACGCGCACCATAGCCCTCATTTGTTTTCCTATATACTCCTTTAGCTTGATCCCAGCTCATCTTCTTTCTATTTTTTTTCTTTTTTTCAAGTAGAGATTGGGCCCTCGCTCTTGCTCAGGCTGCCTCCAACTCCTGGCTCGAGGAGCCTCTCGCTCGGCCTCACCGAGTAGGCCGGGACTACAGGCTTGAGCCACCACGCCCGGCTAATTTTTACTATCATACGTCTTTACTCTTCCGCCCAATTAATTTCTTTCTATTTTTGTAAACACGGGTCTCGCTCCTTCGTCGCGCTGGCCTCCAAGTCCTGACTCGAGGCGCTCCTCCTGCCTCGGCCTCCCTCCCAGTACCTGGGCTACAGGCATGCGGCCTCCGACGCCTGGCCTCCCATTAATTTTTTTCTACAAATAATTTTAACTCGTCACCCAGACTCTTTTCTTCTATTTTTTTTACATAGAGACGGGGTCTCGCATCTTGCTCAGGCTGGCCTCACAACCTCCTGGCCTCTAGCAAGCTATCCTCCCTCCTCCAGCCTCCCAGAGAGATGCGGGACGACAGCGCGGAGCCTCGGCCGTGCTGGACACAACACACCCGTCCTGGCCGCCCGGGGCCCGGGGATCCGGGAGGGACGCCCCGAGACACCAGGCAGGCGTCCTACCCCGGCAAACGCGCGAGATGATCGATGAGGGCCCGAAGGATCCTCTTGGCGACTGAAGCATCGTTGGCCCTCCCTCCACGTCCGTGAACACACGTGGTCGAAGAAGAATCCTGCGGGAC